TCGCTTTGATTATAATTTCAAAACAAGTTCACTTAATGCCGAGAAGCGAAAATACTTTTATTCCTGCGAGATAAGAATTAGCAAAGTACGATAGTGGACTGAGCCAGCCCGGTTGCCTGCCTACCAATCAGCCCATGTCATACATTCAATCGCTTCTTTTGCATGATCATATTCTGTTCAATCACATAAGTTTCGTTTGTTTGTTTATTATTGTTGTTATTATTGTTGTTATTATTATGGCAATTATCAGGCTTAATGATCTTCAAAGTGCATAAATGTACGTACGTACAACAAAAAAAAAAATAGAATAAAATATAGAAACATTTCTCTTTTTTTAGCAAGACGACACTTTCAATAATTTATTGATGAGTAATTATTATGGAATATTTCCAACCGTTCACTATCACTTTAAACTTTGGATTTGCATTGTAGAACTGTAGAAATTACTTTTTAGTAAATTGTATAGTGAAAGGCTTTCATTATGCCGCAAACTTAAGTAAAATATTTTAAAACCTCAATTTTTTTTTATACGACTATAGAATATGAGCAATGGGTCTTCAGAAAACCCATTCTTCAGAAGTTTTCACCACATTATATTAACATACCATATACCTGCGTACTTTTATGCTAGTAAATTATGCTCATCGCTATTTAATGAAGGTCTAAGTTTAGACCAGTTGATCTTTTCTTATAAAGTATACATTTAGCGTTTCATGGTCTCAACCCCAGGGCTTTGAACCCGAACTAAACCAAAAATAGAAACAAAAACAAACATATTTGCCGAACTGAAAATCGAAATCGAAACGAAAATAATTTGTCTGTTTATATCGGATCAGCACTGCATAGTTCGGTATCTGTTCATTTCAGCACCTTCCACTTAATTTGTTGTTTTTTATATTGTTTATAAATATATACTTTTAATTAATTTAATAAGTCAAAAAGTCCCGTAAACCAGGAACCTTTTTGTGGTTAAGAGGAGGTAGCTTACTTGCATTCATTTAAAAAATATACAAAAAAAGGTACAACATACCAAGTTTATCTGTTACCATAAAAACGGAGAACTTAATATAATGAAGCGAATGAAACCTTGAAATGCTAGTAGTTTACCTGGTACTGCTGAATAAACGAACGAAGGTTACAGGCATCTCATATAAAATAAAATATGACTCTATAAAGTAGATGTATTAACCGATGTATAAATCAGTTTATAGAGAAAGTCAGAGAAATATTCGAGAAATATTCTAACTGCATGAAGAGGGCACAATAGATCTATAGCTCACAGGTCAAAATTTCTAAACACTATAATTGATGTATTTACTGAACTCATTAGGTGAGCTTCCATTGTAAAATATATTAATCTGGCCATTGACATTGTCATTTCTACATGAAATTTTGAATTGCATCTTTTTTCTCTTCAAAGAAGGATATGTTAACTCGGCCATAATCCTCTCGAATATAATTATACTTACGTTGTTGACTTTCGAAATTGACTTACATTATATTTATTGTTCACTAAATATTTATTCATAAAAATATAAATATTGGTATATAATTATAAATCACTATATACCTATATATATATAGGTATATATATATGTATGATTTTAAAATTGTGCTTTAGTGCAGAATATTTCGTTTAGGGTCAGTATAGGCTATAAAAATTTAATTAAAATTTCTTATTGCATTCAATCAATAATCGCGAGGGCAACAATAGGTCGTGTGACAATTTTATACACTTTGTCTACACTTTCTTGTCACATATTTTTGAAAATATTTATCAAGTTCGAAAAAATATTGAATGTTTTTTTTTGTATTAAAATACAATATTTTAACACGAGTACACAATAAAAATATCAAGAATTAATTAAATGAAATGATCCTACAGTTTCTAAAAATAGACTCAGTCCAATCGCAACCACATAATTCTTTAGACATCAAACCATAACGGAATTCGTGGAATGCGCAAAGTGACAAGTTGACAAAGGACGTGTCTAAATTTTCCATTTAACGTGTTTGATGAGCGGAGTAAGATTGTTCACCTTGTTATGTTATTAATTTTTATTTTAACGCACAATAATCACATAGCGCCACATTCCCATATGAATTATTCATCTCGAAAGAGAGTAGCATCCGTCCTTGCTGACAGACTCGCTAGATGCAGGCGCCAAATGTTTTCTTTTAACAGCTTCATTAATTCAGCTAAACATGTTGTGATAAATTATCAGGCTAGACGCTTGCCATAAAAAGAATTAAAGATTCTTCCACTATAGAAAGTCAAATATTCTTAGAGTGATGCGTTCAGCGCCAACTGTAAGTGATGGAATTTCTAATGGTTGTGATCTATTTTTGTACGAACTAAAATAAATGTTCTGCTTAAATTAACTTGACGTAAAATTAAAACCAGTGCTACTGCCACTATATCAAGAGGAATATAAAATGCAGAAATATCTTTACTCAACTTCCCTACGCCCATGAATTATATAGTAACTTCAAAGACATCAAATTAAACTTTCATAATTAATAAATTAGCTTAACAAATAACATATTTAACAGAAAACTAATTCTTATGGAAATATTTATAAATTAAAAATTTAACTTGGCAGCACTTTTAGCAGACTGAAGCAATAAATTTAATGTTTAGATAGAAATCTTAAAAGATACGACACTTTATAAGGGGTTTATCAATCACCTAGTCGGTACTTTTACATATCTTTAAAACACAGAGACCACTAGAAAAATGCCTCACATATGACCTATATGTGTGCCTAATTTTTATTTTTTAGTGCCCAGGCAATAACTCAAGGGATGGGGTGTTTGTTTTCAAGGCGACTAGAGTTTGACATTGTCTGCACTAACACTATCCTCTTGAGCAATCTCACAAAAATATTCTGATATTTTGTGGTCCTAATCGTAGGCTCAGGTAGTTTAGTGGTAATTAGATTTATTAAGATGTTTGAAGAGGTTTTTCGAACAGTAGTTAACTACAACAACAAAAATTAATTTTATATTATTTTAATTAATTGAATTTTTGACTGATCATACAGCTGTTTCGAGTATTGACAAATACCCTTCATCAGTGGTCTTGAAAATAATTTTTTGAGACTGCAAGCACCAGGAATCGATATCGTGCCCTGCCAAATTTGAAGCTCATAGTCAGCGCACTTTAACCAACTGACCCAAAGTCGTAGTTGACTTTTATGTTCGCACATTTTTCGGGAGTTTTGTTACTTGGCTGTGAAAGTTTTATTAACAAATTCACTTGCTGTGTTTACATTAGAATAAAATCATAAGATTAGCATAATTGTTATTAGGTCCTAAACCATATAAGTTTTAAATGGACCACCTAAGTTCAAAATAGTTTTAGATAGTCCATTTAGATCTCAAGCTTGTTTCAGAACACTCTTTCATTCTTCTTTATTTTTAGCCTTCGTTTCCTTATTGGAGATATTTATCTCTCTGACATCGTGCCACACGCTATCAGCCCATCTAATTCTTGGTCCTTGGTCAAATAAAATAATATTTCCAAGAAATTTCTTGAGTTATTGAAATCATATATCGTCAATATCCATATTTTTAAACTCATGCCACAAACGAAATTCATATATATCTCTCATTATTTTTTTTATTACAAGTAATTAAATAGATTTTATCGAAAGCGTTTTTTATCAGGCGTATTTTTCTACTTTTCATAGTTCGAGTTTATATTGAACACAACGAATTCACTTGTTTCAGAAAACACATACCATACTTTCTACCATCTTTTATAAATTTATTATTTTTTGCTCGATGAAATGCGAGTCAGTGTCTAAATCACATTTACTTGATAGTGTCTATGATCACTTGGGGGATCCACTGTAACAACAGCTCCATTGAATTCTAATAGTAACATTGTCAGGTGAATTTACGCAAGTATAGTATGAAGCTCAGCATATCTTTCTTGTTGTATTCCATTAACAAACTTTATTAGTGCTAATCTTTTGCTAGTGTATATTGAATAATGATTTAAAATAATTTAATTAAATAATTGACGAACCCATGGCTAATATACACACTTACCCATATGTTTTTATGGTTATTATTTCTGGATATAAATATAAATAAACCCTGGTTCTAGAGTTTTAAATTTGTTTGGAAAATGATTTAAAATTTTTATTCATTGCATTTTAGTATTATTGAAGAACTATTAATCAGATTAAATGTATTTATTTAATTTAAACAGATGTAATTATCAAAGTATTAAAATAACAGTTTTGTTATATGCGCTACTAATAATTAAGTGAAATTGTTTTTTTTTTATATAAACCAGCTTGCTTACGATAATCCAAACTTAAACTATGTTTACACTTTGACTTAGCACGCCTTTTTAGCACACTTTTATATGAATTTTCTATGGATTTTGTATGAAAAATGGCACATATTGCTGCATATTTGTCGAGTTAAGTATAACAGTCATAACACTGCATTTCGAGGTTTTCGACTTGAAAAAATAGATATGATATTTTTTTCAAATATTAAACTTTACCTTTTTGCATTTAATAAGACAAGATATTGTTTCTAATCCTTTGTCTAATCCTTTTTCTAATCCTAATACAAGTGAATAAATTTCATCAAATAACGATGTTCTGATCCAAAAAGTTTAAAAAAAAATAGATGAACTTATGAATTGAGTTAAAATGATGCTAAAAAGGATTGTTACAAAAATGCAATGAACCTGAACTGTTCAGATTCGGTTCAGATATTTTACAATCAATCAACGACAATTATTCCTTTATCTTTTCTCACACATCCCAATGCTTTTTAATAACAATGAAAACAATGAATCATTTAAAGTCAATGCTCGTGACGTGATAGCCCATTTGATTATGTTTATCTGAGTCGGCTTATGTACATTTAACAACTTCACAGATATACAAAAACGTTAGTAAAAATAAAAAAAAATTATTAAGAAAAAAAATTCATTTTTTATTAATTAGAAATAATTTTTGTTTTTCTAATTTTAGAACTTTGCCCGAATTACCGTTTCGTGGGTTATCGAATGTCGAGTTTTTGAGTATTGGTGACAATGAACTTGAAACAATACCGAAACATATGCTCAGTCACATGCCGTTAATTAAGACGCTTGATATGGGCAGATGTCGTCTGAAGTCGGTGTTGCAAGATGATTTTAAAGGTACTCAAATGGTGAAGTTTTTGTTTTTGGTCACTAACGAGATAAAACGTTTGGAGAAGGGTACATTCCCACAAAGTTTAGTATCGCTACATCTTGGCCGCAATCAAATCGAAAGTCTTAATGGCACATTGCGCAACTTAAATCAATTGGAATCACTGTTTTTGAATATGAATAATATTAAATCATTGGACGATGAGTTACCGGAATCGAATCGCTTACAATTGATAATTGCATTTGATAATCAATTGGAACATTTGCCGGAGAGTATGCGTTATATGACCAACTTGGAAACTTTACACGTTCATTCTAATCGTATTAGATCACTTGATGGAAAATTGAAGAATGCCAAAAAATTAAATGAATTTTACGGACATTACAATAAGATAGAATATTTGGCACAGGATGAATTCAAGTCTGTGGTTAAAATGGAAGAAATTAGAATGGATTTTAATAACATTAAATCTTTAAATTGTTCCTTATTACCAATGAAACGTATTACAAAAGTCAATTTCTCTTTCAATGAAATCGAAGAGTTCTCTATGAATGAGATACGCGGCCTTATGTATCTTAAAACACTTGACCTTTCATATAATCGCATAGAAACACTTACAGGACGTCAAGATAATAGCATTGATAAAGCTTCAGTACTCGTTGAATTTAATTTGGATCATAATCGTCTCAAATCTTTGGATGCTGCTTTAATGGGTTTGGATAGTTTACGTATACTAACTTTATCCTACAACGAAATCGAACAAATACTACCAGAAGATTTTATCGGAATGGTACATTTGGAACTTTTGGACTTGTCTCATAATCAACTGTTAACTTTACAGGAATTAGAAACGGTAAGTTGTCTTCACTTCAATCTATGAATTACAAGAATTAAAAGAATTGCGTTAGAATTTGACTAAAACTATGCAATACATTAAAGTGTAGTCAAGTTAATTATATTTATTTTTTAATGTTAATTTTTTTTTGTCGTAAGTGATGCGTCTTATGACGAAAAGAAATTATTTAAATGTTGAAAGCATTCGAATAGAAATGAAAAGACAACAACAAAAATTTGTTGTTGTCTCGAAATGTTGTTTCGAGAAAATACGAACAATAATATTCTTTAGTTTTTCTTAATCGCGATTAGCGAACTGGTAGCATAACAGTTACAAAGCTTCTCTGTAAAGTTGCATCCAAAAAAAGTGCCTTACATATAGAAAGTAAAAATATGTATAACTTAGCTTTGAAATAAAAATAAGAATTAACTTTCAATTCGTTGAACTTGTGTTTCTAATTCTAATTTCATACTAATGTAAAGCACAGCGCTCTGGATAGTGTCACTAAAAAAAAAAAATAAAAAGTGACAAAAAACTTGAATACTGAAAGTTTTTGAAGCCTTGGCTACTTTTGGAAAATACGATTAGTCCAACAAATTATATACGGACTATAAACTAATAAAAAAAAATCGAATATTTCCGAAGACCACTGATGATGCGTACTTGACAATATTCGAATCAACGTTGTATGGTTAGCCAAACTTTAATAAATTAACTAAAATTTTTGTTGTTGTCTTGTTATTTCTATGCTAACGCTTCTTTTTTTATTTCTATTTTATATTTAAAAGTAAATTTGACTAAATTACAGGCTAAAATATATTTGTATGCTAGTAACTATTTTTATTTGAAAAGATATTATTACGAATAGAATTATATTTCATATTTCATATCTTTTATTTTATTGATTTTTTGATCTTTAATAGTTTAGCACATTAGATCAGCACATCTAAAATATATATGTAGTTAGAAGACTTCATTGCACTATTTCCTAATGTTAGATTTAATAAGTAATTATATTTAATAAGTAAGATTTAATAATATATAGTAATAATAATTATATATACTTACTATGTTACTTACTATATAAAGAAGATTTGAATTGTTTTTGTTCTTTTAGACACGTCTACCAAATTTGAAAATATTAAAAGCACCGTTCAATAACTTAACAAAATTGGAACGAGATTTCCATGGATTACCAGTACTTTGCCAGGTGAATGTAACAAATAATCAAATTGCAACGATATCTGCCGAATTAGTGAAACAATCTCGCTGTCTTAGTCACAATGTGCTTAATGATTTGGAAATACATTTGGAAG